AACACCAAAAATTTTTAGAGACATCTAAATATTTTGCCAAGACGCTGTCAAATTATGCACAGATTTACATTACACAAACATCTATCCTGATAAGAACAGTAATGCCAATAATTTAATATTAAATAACAGGGTCAAAATGCTTTTCCATCTCTCTGAAAAAGGACCTCTAAAACCAGCATGTTCACAGGAAACACGTTGATGCTGACCAAAAACTCTGCATTTCCAGGTGCTCTATCAACACCTGCACAGTGTCCTCCTGAGGAAGGTGGCTCATGATGCTCTGTGCAAGAAGACTCATGGTCCCCATATCCCACCGCACCATGGGACACCCCAGCTCCTCCGCTTGCCTGAGGGTTTTCCTCTGCATGTCCTCATCTGTGATGCCGTGGTACACCAGGGTCTCATTCCACACTGGGTTACGGGTGTTGCGCAGCGTCTTCGTCCTCAGCTTATTTGACTACGGCATCAAAAGAAAGCACGGCAGAATTACACCCCCAAACTCCTCCACACCTAAATTTCGGCTCCTGGCAGAGAAGCTTCATCACTTCTGGCTCACAAGGGGTGGTTTGTCTGGGGCATGGAGGACTCTGCAGGATGTCACCACTGTCCACTATGAGCCATCAGCTCCAGGTGAGCACCACCAACCCAACCAGGTGGACTTTTATGCAAGCACCGGTCACTCAGTTGCCTGCAGTGGCCAGGGCTTTCTTTACTGCCTGCAGTTTACTCACTCAAGGATAATTGTACAATAAAGTTTAACTTAATAACTTTTAAAATTTATATTATTATTTTTAATAAATTTCAGTCAGACTAAAATGACACTAAAAATCCAAACTCTTTCCTTATCATATGACCTATAGCGCTTGCCTGTGTTCCCACAAGAGATCTAACCTACAGCACAGGGCAGGCTGCGTGGGGCTTGGGTAATGGTCCAAAGGAGATGACAGCTTGTGAAACGGGGAACTCTGTCACCTGTTCATGTGCTTTTCATTAATGTGTGTGCAAAAGAAAAAAAAAATAAAAAAATAAAACAGAAGAATGGTAGAAACCAAAGAAATTCCCAAGATCACAACACCTCAATTTACTCTGCACAAGACGTTACTCAATGGTTATTTCTTTGCAGCTCTGAAGCAAATGGATTGTTCAAACTCTGGTAATAATTAGAATTTGTGTCTAGTGTTTTGTGATGTGTTAACAGCATTGCTTCCTCCAGAGCTCGCCTCCTTCCCCAAATCCCATCCCTGCCTGTAAGATGAGCTGTTCCTTGGGTACAGGAGAGCATCTGCAAGCACCGATGCTTTTCAGAGAGACCTCCTGGGTAAAACAGCAGCAGTGAGCGACTGTCAGAGAAATGAAGGGGAGGAAGCTCGACACAAGGCAGGGACCTCAGGGGGCTCTGAGAAACCTCAGCTCCATCTCCAGCCCAAAATGCACCTAAACCAGGCAAAGCCTCACCTTGCTGGCTCCAGGCAAGAGGTGCAGTTTGACGTAGGGATCTGCCAGGCCGTTTGAGTCCATTGGTTTTAAGCCCTAAAAGATAATAAAGAAAACATGGGGTGTGAAACCTTGAGCAGAGCCAGAGGGACCTAAATTGGTGAAAGAAAGGGGGAAGAAAAAGAGGACACCACTTACTTTGGCCTTGATGAGGGTGCAGTGCAGGGAGCTGTTCTCCTGGTCGTAGAGCAGGCTGAACTCCAGTGCTCCCAGTGTAGCTGAGAGGAAGAAAAAGGAGGAGGAATTGGAAATAGGACCTTGTTAAAACCCTAGCCAATAACTGCATTTAATAAGCCCAAATTAGTAATAGTTAGAAAGATTTGTGGTTAAAATGTAAAGGCCATTTAATGTGTTGGCATCAAATTGCTACCCACAGACACAGCCAAAGTCACGAGCTCCGGTTACCAAAGCTTTACTGAGGTGGAAGTGCCCAGGGAGGGCAACTGGGGCTTTTGAACTGACTTTAATATTCAGCAGGCAAAGGAAGAGGCAATGGTACAAACACTTCTGTGGGCACAGCTCGGGGAGGCAATGCCCCCAGGACTGCCTTGTAAAGGTGTTTCAGCTCAGGTGGCCAGCATCTCCTTTCAAGGCTTAGTCCCCATTTTGATCTGTTTAGAAACCAGCCCTCCCTTGACTTCACATGGAAAAGACTGCAGGAGGATGGGTTAGCATAGGACTTCAGCTGGGTCCATCCGCTCCTCTCCAAGCATCGTTTCACACTCGCTCTTTGCCCGGAGTGGCTCCCCTCATCCTAGGTGGGAAAAGGCTGGACAGGCGAGGCACTGCCCTGCCACAGATGCTGTCCCTCACACAGCAAATTCCCTTTTTAGGAGAGCAAATGGCTGAACAACAAGATCTCAGAGTGTAAAGGTACCAAAACCACGGAGCCTTTCCTACAGACAGATCCAGTGGCATTTCTCACAGTGAAGGATGCTTGGATAGAAAGAGACAGCCACCTTCAGGACTCAGATTTGGGAATGGGAAGGTGGTGTGAGCACAGAGCCCAAACCAAGTCAGAGCTCAGTAATTTTATTGCAAAACCGACGAAAGATGCCATGAGCTGCGCTGAACTGACCGAGCAGGGACAGCCTGCAAGCCCCTGCCCAGCTCCCCGCAGGGAAGCAGCGTTCCCTGAGACTCCCGACCTCATGGTCCCGCAGCAGCCACCTCCTCAAAATCCCAGTTTTCCCAAAGAAACAGCTCCCTCCCCTCCGGCCGGGTGTCCCGGGTACGTACTGCCTTCATCAGAGTCGTAGCTGTTGGCATCCTCCTCCTCCTCCTCCTGGG